TCTAGGTTATACTTTCATGAAGAGCTTATTTCCAATTTCCAACATGCCAAATTAGACATATTCTTAAGAAAAGCAGGACATTACTTTTTTTGTCCTGATTTTCTTGTGACTATGTAACTAAAACTATCAAGTAGTTCTTTGAGGTCTACTCAGGAATATTAATATATATATATATATGTTTTATATATATAGTCTATATATATATATATATATATATATATATATATATATATAGTCTTTTTTGAGACGGGATCTCGCTATGCAGTTCAAGCTGACCTTGAGCTCACTTTGTAGCCCAGGCTGGTCTTGAAGGAACTCGCAACGATCCTCTCACCTCAGCCTCCAGAGTGCTGAGATTATAGGCGCGAACCACCACGCCTGGGAAGATTAAAATATATTTACCAGCGTCTGCATCAAAAGTCCTTTCCTAGATTATTTATCTTGGCCAATAGCATTGCTGCTATTAAAACTTTAGGCTCCTCTCCTTCTGTAGCACATCAACAGTTTTTCTCAATTGTGCTTTTCTTTTTCCTTACTACATTCCAAAGTCTCCAATCTCTCTGCAAGAATCTCCTTCCAGTTTGTCTGAACTAGTTCCTTTCGTCTTTACTATGGCCAAAATTAGCTTCCTGAAACTCGATTCTTACACTACTTTGTATATTTAAATACAAAATAAATGAAACACTCCTGAAGGATGCTAGCTATATTTCATAGTATTTTGTGAGTACTAGTCATACAAAGGTAAATAGGACCTGAACTTGCATCTTATTGAGGGTTAAAAGCCAGACTTGTTAAATAATAGGCCAGCTCCTAAAGAAGAGATTATTAGAGAAGTCCTAGGTGGGAAGCCTTGCTCTGATGGTCTAAACAAATCAAATTCGGCCACCTGCCACGAAGAGTTAAGAGGGAGACAAGGGGTGATGAAGCAAAAGGGAATTTATCATTCAGAGTTACCACACTGGGAAGAAATGGGACCCAGAGCCCTATCTTTGGGTTACTGATAAGATCTCCAGGAATATATAGGGGAAAGACAAAAGCAGGGATAGGACAAGAAGTATGCTTGGTCTAACAGCCTTAGTCAAATTGTGATCTGGCTTATCATTATGTCAAATCTGGTTCTGAAAAGTTTGCATGCTCTAGGAATACTATCATTGCTTGAAATGTAGATTCAGTTTCCATCATGGGATGATTGCTCCAGCTTTGTGAGCAGCCTAAATTCCCATCATAGATGATACCACTGTCCTGTGATCTTAAAAATATCTTAGTTCTCTTCATATTAATCACTTTTCCAGCAGTAGGATGAGATAGCTGACACTTGTAACTTAAAGGGAGAGAGATTTGGCTCATGGTTTGGGGAAGTTCATTTCAGTTCATGGTTGATTGGCTCAAAGGTAGATATAGCATGGTGGAATGGCCAAGCAGAGGAAAGCATGGCAGGCAGGAATCAGACAGAGAAAAAGAGAAAGAGAGAGGGGGGGAAGAGAGAGGGAGAGAGAGAGAGAGAGAGAGAGAGAGAGAGAGAGAGAGAGAGAGAGAGAGAGAGGTAAGGGAAAGAGAAAGGAAGGGAGAGGAAAGGAGAGGAGGGGAAGGCAGAGCAGAAGGGGACAGGAGGAAAGGGGAGGGGAGGAGAGATCAAGAATGAGTTGAGGATAAGCATATACCCTTCCAGGTCACACCCCAGTGATTCTCCCCTTCCAACTCTCATTTTCTAAGAGCCACTCAGCTGTGAACTCATCACTGGATTAGTACATTGATGAATATAGCTCCCTCATGATCCAATCACCTTTCAAAAACTCTATCTCTGACATTTTTTTATGTAAACCATGGCTCTCTTATCTTGGTGTGTTCAACCTTGAAGGGAGGATGAGGAAGTTGAGACAGATTTACAGTTAGCAACTTCAAATGATTAACGTGTCTACATATGGAGTTGAGCAGGAATCTGACTGAAAGTTCAAGGTAGCAAAAAAATTAGCTTCACACCTGGTGAACAGTCAGTACTTTTAACAAAAACAGCCTTTACATCCCTATTACATGAGGAGCCTTGACCCTCTACAGTTCCCTTCCCCGTTCCCTGATGTAGCCACACTAGGCCCTTTGACTCTTTTTTGCTCTGCCTATTCTGTTCTTTGATTGGGCTCCTCCTCTAGGCAACATCTTACCCTTTTCTCAATATCAAATTCAATGTCATACACGACATGAAGGTTTTCTCAATCCATTCTTCTAACACCATAAAAAGTAGAGACAATTGCTCTTTTAACTGTAACCCCATAGCAGTTAGTTTGCATTAGCACAGTGCACACGATCTCTCATACTTAACTGTCTACATGTCTGTCTCCTGGACTGCATTGTAGCTCGTGTAGCAATGATCGTGAGTCAGTTGGTCGTCAGCACACTGTTCAACAAATAAACAATGAATGTTCAATTCCACGAGACAAAACCGACAACCAGGTAAGGTACCCAAGCCATTTATCTATTTGTATAAATATAGTAGCCTTTGATCAAGGCAAAAATTCAACAGATTTTTTGCCTTCTAGAGTTATTCTATACTTCCTAAGCCTCAGTGAAAATAGCTTCAAGGTGGTGTTGATTGCTGGAGAGCAGAAAAGATTCAGAATCAGAATCTGGATTTACTCTGCACTATCTCTATGAATTTGAACAGGTTACATAATCTTTACATTGCCCATCTCTCTAATTGAGTTGTTTTTAATATTATGTAAAACTAAACATAAAATAAACAATATTTTATCATAAAAAGCCTCTAGAAATATCAGGATTGTTATCATGGTGATTTTTGTATGAATATAAAGATAGTTTCACATATTTCTATTTCTAGGACTTATATTTCTAAGATTTTAGAGACTTTTTTAAAGGGATTGTTTTTGGAGACTTTTAGGTCTAAGATTGTCTACATTTTCTAACTTTTACAATATCCTGGGGACAAGGTACAAACTTTCAATCCCTCTTTATTTCTAAGACTTCTTACTTGTCACCATTGTCAGTTGTCCATTCTTTATCACACATATGTAGCAGTAGTTACAGTTTGGATGCTGATCTGTTGTTTTATTTTTCTCCCTGTATTTTTTTGTTTTCTTTTTCTCCATTCCAGCAGATGCTGATCATTTACATAATGACTGAGAGTAGTACATAGAAAGGTGAAAAAGACAAGTGTTTAAGATTTTCTAAATTTTTAATTCTAAATGAGGCCTAGGACAGAAATAGTGAAGAAATGGTGAAGTTATGCTCCCAAACTCAAAAGGCTTTCCTGGGGTGGGGAAAGGAGACAAAGTAAAGACAAAGAGAAATCTGAGGACTGCAAAAGCAGTATCCTACTTCCCAAGGAGTAGCATTAGGAACTCACTGTGTGGATATTTGGAGATGTTATTTTGCTAGATGGCAAAGAGGCTCATAATCTGTATAACAGGACCATCAATGTCCATATCACCAAGCAACACAATCTGAGAAGTATAAGAAATAACTGGTGTGAACTGCTGGAGTTAGCTAGGTGCTCAGGAGATGGCATATTCACACAAATCCGTATTGACACTTTGACCCTATCATCATCCCATTCCATCACTGAATCATCCCCATGCTCCATTTACCTTGTTCTTGCTCTGGACTGCTGAAAGGTATGAAAGAGAGAAAAACCAGAACCAAAACCAATGACAGAGAAGAGCCTATCCAAGGCCACTATGGTGGCCTCTTTCTTCTGCTTTTCTTTTTCTACTTCTTCCTCCTCTTTCTCCTTCTCTTCCTATTTTTCACTCTGTTGCCAGCACCTTATTCTCTTTCTTACTCTTCTCTTATGAACTTCACTTCGTTACTAAACCAAAGTCCTAGTATCCATCCTTTATGCTTCCTCTCATCCATCCTACAAAGACACTTGGTCCTCTTCCATGATCAGAGCAAAGCAGAGCTTGTTTAGGTGGTTCACAGCAACACTTTTGTTCATGCATCTTCCTGGCAGGATCATGCTCGGACAGGGCAGGGATAGAACTTTCCAGACAAAACACTGTCTCCTCCCTTACTGGAAGAATTCTTTGATAATGAAGTACTATTAAAGACTTTCCCTCTGAAGAAAATCTCTCCCACCAGAGTTTCAGGGATGAAAAGATTATCTTTAAAAACTGAGAAGTTCCCTTTGATTTTTCTATATGCTAGAGAAATAATAGCTAGTAGAGCATAGGACTCAGAACATGTGTATGCAGAAAAGGAGTTAGGCAGATAATTGAGTTTCCCACACACATTCAATTTATGATACCCTGTGGCATCTGCAAATCCCAGATGCATCCTCCTGGCCCTGTGATTCCCTGGCATCTTTAGAAACACTGGGGAATTGCTTACAGGCTTTTCTGTGTAATAAGATGCATGAAGTAGGTCTGGTTTTCCTTTTCAGCTAAGCAGACTTGTCAGAAAACACTCAGTTCTGTACTTTGCCACTCCAAAGTAAGTTTCTCCTTGTAGAGCTCAGTTCTAAACTCAGACATGTGTGACAGTCCTTCACTAAAGCATATCTAATAGTACTTTGTAGTTGCATATGTAAATTGGGCTTTCCTATGGTCTCTCCAGGAAGAGAGGCCTACAGTTTTGCAAAGACATCTATTGTAGTGTCATACTTGGGAAATAGTATTGTTTATTTTCTAGCAGGGATCAGAGTCTTCAGAGAATTGGAAGTGCACAGACAAATAGTTGTAATTACAAGAAAATCAGTTTCAGAACTGTTAGACTTAACTTGGGAAGTAGACCTAGGTAGAACAGTATATTGAGTTCTTGATTTGCAGGTGATGATAGATGTGCAGGGAGCTTAAAGTAGAGTCACATTTACCTTCTTTATAGTTTGGTCTCCTGTCGGTATTGGTATATAAGGACTGTGGCTCTGGATCCTCTCAGAGAGCACTGCTGCACCGAATCGGTCCAGTCTGTGTCTCTGTCTACCTAATTAAACTTTGACAGTGCGGTTTACTTTAAGTTGCACTAATTTTTTTTTTCTATGTTACTTACAGATTCATGAAGGTGGCAGGAAGCACAGTGGATGCAGTTACCTGGCAACAGTAGGTATTCATCATTTTTGTTTCTACTTATTATCAGTTGCTCTGAAATTAAATATAGTTAGTTGTGATCACATTCATGGTTGACATATAATAATATATCCTTAATTTGTTGAGAAAAACTGAAGATTGAAAATTGTTCTTAGTAATGCTCTCTCACAGTACTATAATTTTGTTTTGATGTGTTTAAAACACAAAGCAAGGCATAACAAAAAACAAACCAAAAAAGTGATACATTTTGGAGAGTTCAACTATTATGTGTATTTTTGACCTGTCACGAGTGAAAGATAATGGCAATGTAATTATGTCACTATTTCTCCCTGGCCCTTTCTTTGGGGAATAAACTTCTTTCTTTAAGATAAAAAACAGTTTTAATTGTTTGATATACTATGTGAAAATATCATTAGATTTCAATGGTGATGTTAATGAGTGCCAAGCAATTCATAATATTAACCACAATTTAAAAAGAAGAAAAATATCAAGAGAATGAAGTAGTTTCAAGAAAAAAGGCAAACCCTAGCATTCCAGGTAGAAGTTTCCAGTGACCTGTTAATCCCCAGGATATCTCAACCTCTTAGAATAGTTCTCTGATACCTGAATATTCTTTATACATCTTTACGGATTTTGTGCCAGAATATCAGGCACCATCTACAATATCTCACCTATTTTGTATTGAAACCCTAGTCTTCTCCAATAAGTCTCCCCCACAACATCTCAGTCATCTCCCGTTTAATCTGGTGCCCACAATGCAGACATTTGTGCTCTCGCTCTAGACCCAGCTAGCCTGTGACCAGCTGTGGCCAGCTTTCTCAGTTACTCTGACTCTTCCCATCTAGTTCATGTACTTTTCTTTGTTCTGTGCTTTTAATGGGTCACTCTATCCATTGCAGATTAAGCACAGGTGTGAAAGAAAGAGAAGTGAATGGAATCTTCATTAACCACATCAAAAACTCAGCATGAGTTAGTGAGATGAAGCTGCAGTTATGAGTGTAGTAGAATAACATCCTGTAGGTAGCAATGATAAAATCTGGGTATATATTTTTTAAAAAAATTAAAAGAAGGCAAAACTAATAAAAGGTACTCAATCCTTAAAAGAGATAGAAGGTGAGAGTTACTTTTATGATTTTTTCTCTACAGTTACCTAACAATCTATGTGTTTTGAGTTATCTAGAACTCAAACAATTGAATTGAGTTTCCAGAAGTCAGTGATTAAAACTTTAGGATGTAAATCTCAGAAGAAAAAAAACTTACAAAAGAGAAATACCAATACAAAATAGGTGAGATATTGTAGATGGTGCCTGATATTCTGGCACAAAATCCGTAAAGATGTATAAAGAATATTCAGGTATCAGAGAACTATTCTAAGAGGTTGAGATATCCTTGGGATTAACAGGTCACTGGAAACTTCTACCTGGAATGCTAGGGTTTGCCTTTTTTCTTGAAACTACTTCATTCTCTTGATATTTTTCTTCTTTTTAAATTGTGGTAAACTCCCTGAAATCTTTGCCTGAATCCTGAAATTAATATATTCATGGTAAACCCCAGGGAGTCTGGAGGAAAGCAATAGCCGGAACCTTGAAAAAGTTGAATAGAGATTTTAGTTGCTGCCTATCATAAGACAGAGATTGGAATTTGAGCTCGTGAAGTTGAAGGACTTGAGAAATGCCTGTGCTTTCCAGTGTAACCTGAAAGAATTATACTTTAGAAAATTCTAGGACTAAAGATTTGCCCTAACCCCAAAGTATAGCGAAAACAGACTTGCCCAACTTCTGAACTAATGCCTCCTCAAGAACAAAATAATATTTCTTCAGCTTTCTGCTAGATCCAGAAACCATTCTTCGGTCTTTATATTTTATTATCCATACTTTCTAGTACATAATTTTTTAAATATTAATGTGTGCAAAGAAATAGGAATAAGTGACTCATGGCCAAGAGAATAAATAATAAATAGAAACCTTGTGATTACATAGATATTAGAATTAGCTGACAAAGATTTTAAAGAAATATTGTAAATATTCAAAGATTTATAGGGAACATGTCCATATTGAGGCATTACACAGAAAATATCAGCAGTAAAATGGAAACTATAAAATATCCTCTAGGGACCACTATTCTACTCTTCTATGATATAAATTTTTTAGTTTCCACATAAGAGTGAAAATATGCAATGTTTGTCTTTCTGTGACTGATCTTTGTCCCATAAACCATTATCCTCCAGGCTTATCAGTACTGCCAAACATGACAGAATTTTGAGTTTTTTTATGGCTAAAAATAAATATAAAAGAATGTGTTTTATTTTTTGTCTTATATACATGTAAAAATACAGACAAAATACCCCCAAAGAATGACATAGGGAGAAGGCAGTAAGTGAAAATGTTCCTTTATAGGAAGTACTAAAATATTTAAGAAAATTGTGATAAGTTTGAAAGTTGTATTCCTAGGGAGTCTCTTATAGAAATATAGGCAAAAACTAGCTTACAAGGCCATGTTTGAATTAGAATACTAAGAAATAGCGAATTGACCTTTTAAAAAGTAGGAAAGATTGCTTCTCACCTTTTGGCTAAGATCAAGTGTAAAAAGCAGGAAATGAGGAACGAGAGAATAAAAATAAATAGAGGAAAACAAGTAAGTAGGAAAAATTAAAAGCAAATAGCAAAATAGTAGAGACCTAACCACAAACACATAAATTATATTAAGTGTAAAGTTCTACACACTGTAATTAAAAGTAAAAGATTATCAGATTGGATGCTATGGAAAAACCAACTATATTCTGTTTAGAGTAGACACACACAAAGACACAGATAAATTAAATATAAAAAGAAGAGAATCATGTACTATAGAAGCATGGCATCTAGTGAATAATAGTTGAAATAGTAGAGATAGAAAAGGAGTATTTCTAATGAAAAAATAAACTATTTGTAGTAACAGATGGCTTAGTTTATTAGGAACACAGAGTAATCGTAAGATGTGCATGTGTTAGATGTCTGCATCATAATATCTATGACCTATAAATATGTTAGATTAAATGGAAAAAGGAAATTAATTAAGGCTTCTAATCTGCTGATCTAAAGAAGGCTTCTAATCTGCTGATGCTGAACTATCTGGGTGGACCCAATGTAACCATGAGTGGAAAAGGGAAAGGAAAGGGAGGCATGGGGACATTTAACTACTGAAGAGGAAGGTATACTGATCCAGGGTAAAGTTGATTTCACCTGTCATTGCTGCCTTTGAAGATGGAAGAAGGAGACCATAAGCCAAGGAATGTAGGCAGCCTCCAGAATCTGGAAAAGGAAAGAAAATATATTTTCCCTTAGCATCTCCAAAAGAAAAACAGCACTCTCAAACTTTGATTTCAACCCAGTGAGATCCTCCTTGATTTCTACTTATCCAACTGTAAGATTACAAATTTGGATTGTTTTAAGACACTGTTTGTGATAATTTGCATAGAGTAGCAATAGAAAATTAATACAGTACCTAATAACATAAATTTAAAATATGCTAAGAAAATAGTAACAGAACCAAAGGGACAAAACTACTGTCAAAACCAGGGATTTTTAAAACATCTCTTGCAGAAATTAATAGGATTATTACATTAAAATAAAAATAAAAAGACTATAGAAGATTTGAATAATAGTATCAATCAACTTAAACTGATTGACCTTTATAGAATATAACTGATCACATTCTTTTCAATTATATGTGGAACATTTACCATGGTAAACCATAAAGTATTTAAATAAATCTGAAAACAATAAAATTGTGCAGAGTTTGGTTTAAATGACAAAAAATTAAGATAAATGTTTGTAATAAAATATGTACACACTTAGAAATCAATACAATTTAAAATAAAGATCACAGATGAAATATTTGCATTAGAAGAATTTTTAAATGATTATGAAAATATATTGCATCAAGTAATATTTAGCAAAAGCAGAGCCTTAAGAGAAAGTTACATTCTAATATGCATAGTAGAAAAGAAGAAACGTTTAAAATCACTGAGTTTAATTGCTAGCTGAAGATAAAAAATAAATAAATAAACCCAAACTAAGTGAAGTGAATGAAACAAAAATAAAAGCAATCAATAAGGCAGAAAACCAAAACGTTTCTTCTGAGAGATTAATAAGTTTGGAAAACGTCTATGGTGACTAAAGGAGTGAGGGAGAGGAGGAAGTAGAGAAGAGAAGAGAACAAGGAAGAATGGAAATGAAAGTGTCAGGAATGAAAGAGAGAGTCTCACTATAAACCCAACAGACATTAAAAGTATAAAAAACAAATACTAGGCACAACATTGTATCAACAGATTTGACAGCTTAGGTAGATAAATTCTTTGAAACTTACAAAATGACCAAAGTATAAATCTGGCAGCACCCAAACATTCTTACTTGCCATTTCTCATTCTCTATCCTCCTGTTCCCATCTGTTACCTCTGTGCTTCCTGAACAGCTGTAATTCTAAGATCTTCCTTTACCATAATCCTGAGAATTCTTTTTGACTGACTTATTTATAGATCTATGAGGATATTTGAGGTTTATTCCCTCTTTTTGGTGGAGTATTTCTCCCAGAAACTTTAAGAAAAGATGAATGAAAGGTGAATACATTGAGATCATGTATTAGTTTGATCTGTATGTTTAATCCATATAATTTTGCCTCCAATTTTAACATTTTATTCTCATTACCTTCTAAACATTGAAAAGCCCCGTGCCTTTAAAATTTTCCAGTTCTTTTATTTGCATTGGTGTTTCTTTCTTGATACTTTGAATATCTTCTCCCTGTCCTCAGTGATCTTTTATGTGGCTGTTTTTTTAGTTCTGTTTACCATGTATGTGGTACACATTCTCAATTTGAAATTCATATGCTTCAGTTTATGAAATTTTTCCCAAAATTTATTTTGTAATAACATTCTTCTTTCCATTGTTTTGCACTCTGTATAGAACTGCTATTAGTTAAATATTGGAACTTCTTAAACATTACTTTGATTTTTCTGTGATATTTAACCTCATATG